TCCAATCAAAATCTTATAAAAAAAAAAAAAAAAAAAAAAAAGCACAACATTACAACAGCAATCATAATTATAACAACAATACTAATAAAAATAACAATAAAAAGAAAAAATAAGATAAATAAAGAATCGGATTGGTTTGATAGAATGAGGGATTTCACATCGTTTGTCGAATGTCCAATGCGCGAGTGGCACTCTCTATTACATTTTGTGCAGTTGTACGAAGAGTGCTGTGTGGAGAGAATTTCTGCAGCGTGCTTCCCTCAAACCCTCTTCTCTGCTGCTGCAGCTGCAAGCTGTCCTCTCTTAACATCTGCATCTGCGATGCCCTTGGATGATCTGGCGTCAAGGAACCGCGATCCTCAGCCTGAATTTCTCAACTTCTGAAGAAATATTGCATGACTTCATGTTGCTTTTACAAGCGTCCTTGAATCTAAGTGAAGGGCAACCAACACGTCAGGTGTCCATATATGATGTCTTTAGGTAGCCTTCCATCCTCCATTCGCCGGGTGTGTCAAAGCCATCGAAGGCGGTGCTGACTGAACAGGGAATGGATGCTTGGAATTTTTGCTCGATACTGGAATTTGCTATGTTCAATATGGTCCTCTGCCAGCTGATTTTAAGGATGTGCTTAAGACATCTCATGTGAAAAGCGCTGAGCCGATGCTCCTGCTTCATGTAGGTGGTCCAGGACTCACTTCCATAGAGAATGGTGCTGAGAACGGAGGCTTGGTAAACCCTGATCTTATGTTTTCTGTCAGTACTTTGTTATCCCATACTCGCTTAGTTAGCCTGGCCATGATTACATTGGCCTTCCCAAGTCATCTGTCAAGAAGGTTGTTGATTATCGAACCCAGGTAAGTGAATTTATCCACAGCTTCCAGACTGACATCATTAATTTTGATGCATGGAGGATTTTCAGCATCCTGTGCACTCTGACCTTGGTTTTTTCAGGCATGTGGTCAATCGAAACTGCTCACAAGCATCGGCATAGCTATCACTTAGTGCATGGAGAGCTTCCTCAGAGTTGGTTATCAGGGCGGCATCATAAAAAAAAAACGGATGAGCACAGACCTTACCTTATTCTTCGAGCGCAGTAGTGCCAAGTTGAAGAGCTTCCCATCGGACATAGTGTGCGTATAAACACCATCAGCGGATGAATCAAATGCATATGAAGGGAGCAGGGAGAAGAAGATTCCGAAGAGAGTTGCCGCAGAGACGCAGCCCTGCTTTACACTACAGTTCATTGGAAAGGGTTCTGAAGAATATCTGTCGTACAGGACGGTTCATTTCATGTCGGCATGAAATGAAATCAACATGCCACAGAGTTTTGGAGGGCAACCGATCTTCTGAAGAAGTTCAAAAATTCCTTTCCTGCTGGCTAAACCGAAGGCCTTGGTAAGGTCTACGAACATCATGTCCAGAGGCTGTCTTTGTTCTTTGCTCTTTTCTGGGGAAGGGAAAAGATCATGTTTGTTTTGGAACTGCCTGGTCTGGAGCTGCACTGGGATTCATGAAGAGCTAGTGTCTTCTTTCTTTTTAAACTTCGTTTGTGTGGTGCATTAAATAAAATTTTTATAATAATGAAAATTCTAGGACTAGGTATACTGATTCACGTTTTCAGAAAATTCATTGCAAGAAGTTCTAATCTTTAGTTCTCCCCCTTCCCATATTTCCCAGTGGCTAGTAATAAGGACACCTCTATTTCGAATTCCTGGTAACTTCGTAACCAGGAATTCGAAATAGAGGTGTCCAGGGAAGGTTTTTCACAGATGGAGGTTTTTAACCACCTCAGCCACACCATAGTTGGAGCTGAGGGGAAAAAATGTATATTATGGCTCCTCTAGAATCGGCCACTGAATTGAAAAGAACACAGTAATTGTCGTCGCCGGCCGACTGTCGTACGATGCAGTGAGTACCCAGTTTAAAACTATCGCATTGAGTCAACCACGATCGTCATTTTTAGGAAATGCCGTAGCCAGCTATTGGGGCAGTCTGGACAGTCCCACACAATTCTTCTAATGGGTACACAAATGATGGGTCCACATTTTTAAAAATGGGTCTAAATTCAGCAATTTTATGCATAAAATGAATCCACTTTTTGAAAAATGGGTCCAGATTTCTCATACTTAGCCTAATATGGGTTTAAAGTTTAGAAAAATGGGACCAGAATTTTCATATTTTTACGTAAAATGGGTTAACTTTTAAGAAAATGGTTCCACATTATTTGAATGTACGCGTAAAGTGCGTCCACCCTGACATTTGTCTCGCACTGTTTGGAAATCCTGGCTACGGCATTGTTTATAGGATGTTAATATATGAGATTTAATGGTCACTTCCTTTTGTACTATACAATATATAAAAAGTCCTAACACTATAGCGTAACATAAAATATTATTAATAAAATTACATTAATATATTAATGTTGATTTTGAAACTTCAGCCAGAGAAACTAATCATTAACCACAGCATTCTATCAAGGGAGCTGGTGTTCAGGAAGTGAGAACACCAAACCGAGGTGTTCATCATCATCATCATCATCATAATTATCATCATCATCATCAGTGTTGACGTCATCGTTGTCATCATCTTTATCGTCATCAATCATCATCATCATCTTCACCATGATAACTTCTTCTTCATCATTCTTATTATAGTTAATAATACAAATTGAAAATGATGATGATTAATAATAATATGTTAATATGTTTAAATTAAATTCTCATGATAATAGACCTAATTAATTATTAATAGCTTACACTTTGATTAAAGTTGGTGCGGCTAAGGCAACAACGACCCGGCATGGAATGTCATAAGTACCTGAAAATATAAACATTTATCTATGATATTATTATGTTTTATTTATTGAAGCTACCATTTTAGCGCATAGTATTTTGCGCGGTACAAATTTATAACCTTTAACCTTTTAAGCTTTCCATTGGCGGGGAAGTGAGTTTAAATCCTGCGACACCAGGATTTTTGTTCTTACAACTAAAAATAACTTCATATTCTAAGACTTATAGAGACCTTATAAGTTTAAACCTAAAATGTAACACCAATTATGTAAGTAACAAGTTGACAAGTTTATAAGTCTTGTCACAATCGAGATTTTTTGCAACATAATACTTTATTAGTTACTACAGGTCTACTTACTGGGAAGCAAGTCGCAGAGTTTAAAGAGTGAATCTACAACCGTATCATTGTGGAGTTGGGCCAACTGCTCTCCCAAAGACACTAGCAACGTGCAAGCTGAAAAGAATATAAATACAGTGCATCAAATGGTGAAGAACCTGAGCCTAGACTAGTCCTATGCAATGCAGGGGAATATTTAGGAGTCTTGAAATGGTGTGGGGGTTGATGGGGAGCGCAAAGGTCACATGGGGCACCATGATTAGGTGAGGGCTCTAACTCGCAATATAATGTAATTTTACTCATGAGCGTGATTTTTTTTTGGATTTTTTTTTGGGAGGGTGGGGGACGGGGCGAGTATTTTTAGAGAGGCGTACGCCCTCACGCCCCTTAGATACGTCCACTGATGCAATGTTCCGAGAGTTCCTTTTCACATGTATAAACTAAACAATTTTGGGCACGGTGGCTCAAGGTTACCGGCGGTGCGGGATTACGAAAGGGCCAAATGCGTCGTCGACTAGCCCGATTTCGCGTAACGCATCGTTTTAATGATGATCTGCTCAGTGCACCACCAAAAATCATCAGACGGTGTGCTGCGGTGTCAAGCGCTCACAGACAGCAGACATTGACTTGTAGGCCGATGCCGTGCATGACCGGCTTAGATCTTAAAGATGAAATAATAAGTAATCTAGAGCTTAGTTTACGCATAATTTTTCTAACAGACAGCACACAGTGGTGAATTCATAATCTTCTTGGCGGAAGCGAAAAAGACGATGACTTTAATTATTTCGAATTTACATCATACTTTCCATCAGTGGTTTATTGACAGTATGAAAACATAAAATAAATAATATAACTATCAAGTGTAAGGATAAGGTCTATAGAATTGTTGATTCATGCAGAGTGGATCAAAAAAGAAGTTATTTGCTCTGCTCGCTTTCAAACTATCAAAGAAATTGATCTGAAGTTGAAGGTTTATGGAATATGCCCTAATATTTTCGTTTATGATTATGATCTGGCAGTTAAAGATGGCGGAAAGGGTAAATCCAGTAGAAGTGCCTGATGGCTCATGTGTCAACTTAAGTACAAACTACAAAATACGTACAAAAGCCATAAAAAAATACACCACACATTTCCTGATAACCGAATCCCGTGTGGATACTTTATTAATAAACATAATACAGTAAGGCAGTATAGGACATAGACACACACTCCTGCTGGAAGCATATTTTTTAAAAAAGGTAGCATATCTACCTAACTGTTTGTTCAAATGAATTAGAACTTAATACACATGTATATCATACACTTATACATGCGCACTTGACTGCAGATGTCAAGAATTATCATTATCTTTCACACAAAATCCCAATGAGTTATTTGTGCTGAAACTACATTGACCTTTGAACCGGCCACTGATTCCAATATTCACGAAACAATAATTTCAATGATAGCAACCTTGTTGATGCTGTGGATTTTGATACTAAATTGTTTACATTAGCTTCTTCGTTGTGTATTTATAGATATCTTTATTAACCAGACCCATTTATATTCCTGGTTTTAGGAGAGAGACAAACATAAGAGTGAAGTGCTTTGCACAAGGACAAGCAATGCGACGAGCGTCGGTCTCGAACTTCCGATCTCACGATCATAAGTCGAACACCTTACATGCATTTCCACCTGCCTTACCATTCATATACTCACACAATCCTTGTATTCTCTCCAAATTTACACCCTACATATATCGTCCCCTACACATAATAATATCTTCCTTGTAACTTGGGTTAAACTTTCCCAAAAGTTTTATTCGGATCAGTTGACCCATTTTTGAAATTTCTGGTGTGGGACGTTTTCCTTAAATGATCCTCATATTCACACCCTACGCCAGATCATCACAAAAATTCAGTCATTTCTTTACTGGACATTTACAAACTATTATAGAAAATTTCATTTACACTGATTGAAAACGTTTGATAGATATTTACGTCTGGGATCTCCAAAATTGAAATGACCCTCCTATTTACACCCTTTACTGATTCGTCGCCAACACATAATACTATCTTCCTTGTAACTTGGCTAAACTTTTTTCCGAATGTTTCATTCATACCAGTTGATCCGTTTTCGAAATATGTGGTCTGGAGCGTATTCCTTTCAATGGTCATCAGATCTACACCCTACTCCGGATCGTCACAAAAATATAATCATTTATTTACTCGACTTGACGACCTGTTATACAAGGTTTAAATTCTACCCATTGATATTTTTTAAAGAGACGTTTAGGTCTGGGTCCTCAAAAATTGAGAAGACCCTCAAATTTTCACCCTTCACTGGATCGTCACTAACACATAACAACTTCTTCCTTGTAACTTGATTAAACTTTCCCGCAAGTTTCATTCACATCAACTGACCGGTTTTTGAAATATCCGGTGTAAGCTGTTTGACCTTAAAACATTTTAATTGGTCCTCACACGCACACCTCATCATAGATTGACACTAAATATTAGGAGGCACATCCTCGATAAATGGCCTATGCTTCGGCAAAGCGCGGAAAAATGATAAGCATGGGAAGTGACCAAAGTGACGGCCAGGAAAAAAAATAAAAGTGCAAAAAGATAGGAAAAATATATGCAAGAAAAAGGGAAAAAAATCAGAACAAAAACAATGGCTTTTCCCAGTACTGCTGGGAAAATCTAATAATAATAATAATAATAATAATAATAATAATAATAATAATAATAATAATAATAATAATAATAATATTATTATTAGCAACAATATTATTAATTATAATGATGGAATAAAAGATAATATTCATAAAATAATAACAATAATAATAATTATTATTAATATTATTTTTTATTATTATAGTAGGCCTTACAATAACTTTAACAATAACAATATGCCAAAGAATAACATTGACAGTAACGATAGCCTAATTTCCGCTAGAGCAGGTCTAGAACAGTAATTGAAAATTGACATTCATTTTCATACCTGCACACTCCGTCCCTCCGTTAACACCATGGGCCTGTCCAGAGGAAATGAATGCGAGAATTACGAATCCGATGGTGAGTTTGAATAGTCTCGGTGACATAATGGATGTATTGAACGCAATTAACTACAACTCGGGAGCATGTAACGTGATTTTCAAATGACAATTCCAACTGGGACTGGAACTGAAGCGCACGTGATGTGTGTTATTAGTGGGCGATTATCTGAACTTCCTTATTTGGATAGCAAGGGAGAGGGTGGCTTTACCTTTGAGCCCTGGGGTCAGAAATTCACCCGAGCTTTGTAAGAAAACATAAAACAAAAACAGCCCGCGTATAGCTATAAGGTGGATCCAGTAGTTAATCACTGCTAGGCCTTGATCAGGTTTTGAATTTATGCAAAGAAGATGTACAGCCTAACACATTATTATTGCGATACAAGCAAGTTAAACTCCATCATCAATGCTGCCCATTAAGACAGCTCAGAAACAAAACAATAGTTTATATCATTTTTTGCTTTAATTGTTACTTCGCATTACAATAAATATGAAACACTGCACAATAAAAAGGAATCAAAGAACTAACATTATGGTACATTGTATTGTTTTTATGATGTTTATGAGCTGGAACCATCGTCTTATTGCGGAACATCATATCACTGCCTATAAGGCACGCAACTAGATCACATGACTTGTGACCATTAGATCATGTTATAACACTGTAGTTTTCTGACAATGAACTCCAGAAATAAGATGTCATTTTGGAATAGTAGGCCTACTAACAACAACTGCATATGGATCATGAAACAGATCATGTTTGAAACCTTGTTCCATTGAATTTTCTTATTTTAATGTTATGCCAGTTAAGAGTCCTTAGGTCTTTGGGGCGGATACAGGATTTGGTCGGAGGCAGTGCGTAAGAGTCCACACATTTTGAGTAGGCCTATATGGATCTCTAGGTGCCTGAAATCATACCGGTCCTATGTTCATAATGATAAAAATATATCAACTATACAATACAACAATTACTTTCCGAATACAATTTAGGAGGGTGCGATCGCACCGTCTGCACCCCCCCGCCCCCGTGCATCCGATCCTGGGTCATAGGCCTTAATTTATAGGATACCATGAGAATTCACATTTTTGAAGCTTAAAACTATGTTTCAGGTGAATTTTCAAACTTAGTGTGTATCGTTGTGATACGTACTGTAGGTGCTAGAGAACACAAAACAACGGGAAAATGGCATGTTGAGAAAAATCGTCCAATTTCAACAAAAACCGTAAATTACACCCTTTGCGTTTTTGCCAAAATTAGACTATTTTTCACCTGTCGTTTCGATGCAGAATCTTATAATAATTCCAAAGGCTCATGAAACCATCAAATTACTATTATTTTAAAACCATTTGCATACCATTACATGTTTACTGTAAGTACTAGAGAACACAAAACAACCGGAAAATGGCATGGTAAATAAAATCGTCAAATTTCGACAAAAACCGTAATTTACGCCCTTTGCGTTTTTACCAAAATAATACTATTTTGCAGAGGGTGCAGAGGGTGGGGTGCAGAGGGTACGATCACACCCCCCTAAATTGTATTAAGAAATATTGTTGATATGAATTATTTGTAAAATTTTTAAGGTACATGAGAGTGCAATTTCCGGGCAAACAGAAGTCCATATTCTCAAAATTTTCGCACCGCAGCCCCAACCATGTTGGGGCTGAGGTGGTGGACTCTCACACAACCATGGGCGCAAATCATGGGGGAAGGGGTAAACGTCCAGGGGTGGCGCCAGGATTTGCCAGACGGGAGGGGGGTCCGAAGGTCCCCGACCGGGGAGGCCGATGTCTCCGACGAGGGTGAAATATTACCCGATGAGAACAAAGTGGGCGTGGTCGGACGTCGCTTTAAATACCTCGAAAGTGGTCTAGGGGACGAAGCCCCGAAATTTGGACAATTTAGCGGTTTCAAAGGCTTATTTAATCGATTTTAGAGTCTACTAATATGTACAAAATACATATAATTTTTCTTTATCCCCGACGAATCGTGGTTTCTCTCACCGACGGGGAGGGGCAACTCTCCCCGACGAGGGGTGCCAGGAACCCGCCCCCTGCTGGTGCCACCCATGTAAACGTCCCCTCACATATTTGTTTAAGGGGAAGGGTTGGTCCCCTTACTTCTCGTGAGTCAAGAAGATCTTCCTGAAAATTGTTGACATAAATGCATAAATGACCCTGGTTGTAACGAAATAGCGCTGTACAGCCAGAGTACATCTTATTTCATAGCAAGCAAGATATCTGCATCTCTGCCCACAAATATCTGAATTACCTATAGGCCTAATACTCGAGTGCGAGTGCCTTTATTATAATTTGAGAAGTATGAGAAAAAGCATTCAAAGATAAGATTGGGTTTTGGCACATGAAGTAGTATTTTTCTATGGTACATCCACAGCGACTAATTAGATCGATAATAATGAATTTTACTATATAAGAGTGTCATATCCGGCAATCAAGAGATACAATTTCCCCAAACTTTACCACCTCAGCCCCAACTGTGGTGGAGCTGAAAGACACAATTTTGAAGTTTTATATTCTATGGTAACGTACATCACACATACTAATTAAATCTCTATGGTTGCCGAAAATAGCTGATGAAAGATCATGAGAATTTGTTGGCGCTTCATATTGACTATATTATAATGGTGATGTGATGATGATGAATTTTAATAAAAAAAAGTGTCATTTCCGGCCATCTTGAGGTACTATTTCCTCACGGCTTTGTGGGTAGGTCGAGTATTTTAAATACATCAAAGAAAGTGTTTCTTTAGTTTTATTTTCTATGGTACATCACTCGTATTCTGTTGCCAAAATGCCTGAGTAAAGATCATGAGAAATTTTCTGGCGCTTCATCTAGACTAAAATGATGGTGTGATAATGGTGAATTTTACTGTATAAAAGTGTCATTTCCGGCCATCTGAAGGTACTATTTCCTCAAATTTTCTCACCTCGGCCCCACATGGTTGTGGACTCATGGCTTTGAATTAGGTAAAGTAAATACATCGAAGAGAATGTTTTTAAGTTTTATGTGTACACACACACTAATTAAATCTCTGTGGTTGCCGAAAGTCGTTCATACTTTTGACTAATGGTGATGTGATGATGAATTTTACTATATAAAAGTGTCATTTCCGGACATCTACAGGTACTATTTCCTTAAATTTGTGCACGCACCCCCCCCGCCAAATCCTGCATCCGCCCCAGAACCGGAAAATGGCAAGGCCAAAAAAAAATCGTCCAATTTCGACAAAAACTCTGGGCTTTGAGTTCTTTTTTTGTGTTTTTGTTTTTTTTTTCGGATAAAATTTGGACTAAGTTTTTACCAAGTCGTTTTTCTGCTGATTCTTTCGTTATGGTACACAAGGATGTAGAAAGCATTAATTATGAAATAACATTCTTCATTATCATTTCATAGCCTTGCCATACCTTGCCATTTTCCAGGTGTTTTGTGTTCTCTGCCAGCTAGGTGTCGTAAAGTTACACAAATTATGCCAATCTCTTCATTTATGTTTGACCTCTATTATGATGAACTGCCTCAAGATGTAAATGAATATTTAAATGAAGGAATCAAACAGGCAGTGATGTCATATATGAGCAAGCATAATATTAGAAGATTTACAAGCGCCCAATACTATCCAATTTACCCTAATTATATTAATGAATTACAAATTTGTAGAAAGGGATGCAACTTTTTTTTACCATACTCTGCTTATTTCAAAATTTACTAAGTTGCCGTGTATTTCTAAATGGCAAAAATATTAGGCATTGAGTTTACTGATCATGACAAACAGTGGGAAGTGTTTAACATAATACCAATCAAATGTACAGATAGTACTGATCTGAAATGGTTGCAGTATAGAACTATACATAATATATTACCAACGAGAAATTATCTCTATAGATTAAAGTATGTTGATTCACCACTACGTAATTTTTGTAAGCAACTTCCTGAAACAATTAACCACATTTTTTGGAATTGTGAAAAAATATATAAGATATGGAAAGATTTGGAAATTTGGATAAATAAAAACCATCAAATACAATTACAATTTTTAAAGGAAAACATAATACTTGGCATAAATGGAAAAATAATAACTGTGTAAATATTATTATTTTATTAGTAAAGGAACTTATCTATAGAAATAGTAAACAGAAAGTGTTACCATATATAAATAATATAAAGAGAGAAATTGTTAGATACTATTATATCTGTCTCTTATACACATCTAGATGTGGATAAGAGACAGGTCTAGGGGACATATAAAAAATAATATTATTATTGTATTAGTAAAGAAAATTATCTATAGAAATAGTAAACAGAAAGTGTTACCATATATAACAAATATAAAGAGAAAAATTGTTAAATACTATAAATACTATGATATTACAAGATATATATTTTTTCTCCTGTAATCCACAGAAATTCTTTTCATTTTGGTCTTCACTACATGTTCTTCTTCAAAGCTTCAAATAAATAATAAATGTTTAAATGTTTCAAGTCATGGCCTCTGATATATAAGCAGTACACCTATATGAACGTAATGGTACAGTACTTATTTATGGTACTTATTTAATTGTTTTAATTTTTTTTTCTTTTTGAATGTATTGTATGATAAAATGAATAAAATGGTAAATAAAAAAATAATTTAAATGAATATTTTACACTTATATTATTTATATTTTATTATATTTTACACTTATCATGCATCCACATGAAACTAGGCAAAAATCAATGAGCAATCTATATCAGCCAAAGGCAGCCACTACAACTGGGCAATTTTCAATTACCTCTGTAGGCACCAAAATATGGAATGAAATACCAATACACATTCGTAAAATTAAACACAGAAACCCGTTCAAAACTATTAAAAAAATCTTTACTGCAATAAAAGGTTGGAATTTTTCTCTATGGCATGTTTTTACCTTATTATTACCATTATATTACTATTAATGAAGCGTTTGTTTAGATTTAATTATTAATTTGTTTTCATAGAATGTTGAGCACGATAGGTATGAAGTTGCCTCTGTTCAGCCTCCTTTTATCTAAAAAAATTATATCATATTAGTTTCCATTGTAAATGTTTAACTTTTTTTTTGATAATAAAGAAAGAAGAGAGATAAAAGATGTTGTGAAGTATGCCAGAATTTATCCTATAATGACTTAATTAAATCTGAATTAATATTATATAAGCTTAAAACTAGGTTTTAAGTGGCACTTGCAAAGAATGACAGTATTTTTGTGATCCGTGGTCTCAGAAAAAACAAAAGAACTAACAAATTCTTTTGTTCTCTCCCTCCATATATTATTATATATTATACTATAATATCAAAAGCTTGACAAATTTGGTCAAAAAATGACTGCATCTTGAGGAAGTTTCCTGGAGGATTGAAGGATTTCCACCTCGCAACAGATGTCGCTACACACTGATTGGCTAGGTTAGACCAGGGAACAGTGAAATTATTCACTGTTCCCTGGTTAGACCTGTCCGTGTAGTGCCCGATACTGCGTAACCGTGGTGGGCCAGGATTTGCCCGACGGGTGGTTGGAGGTCCCTGATTGGGGAGGGGGATGTCCCCGACGAAAAAAAGTGGGAGTGGTCGAGCGCCGCTCAAAGTGTTGCATGAGGGGAGGAGGAGGGTCTGGTATAAGCCCAAGAAAAATTTTTGAGTCTACTAATATGTAGAAAATACACATACATTTTTTTCTCCCCGATGAATTGTGATTTTTGTCTTCCGCGTGTGGAGGGTGGGATAGTTTTAATGTGTTTTTTTGTGTCAAATAATCAAATTAGAATGTGTATAGTGGGTTATATTTCAATTTTATATACATACATATATATATACATATATACACATACATGTATACATATATATATATTATATATATATATATATATTTATATATATGTATACATATATGTGTATATGTGTGTATATATATTTGTATATATATGTATATATATATACACATATATAGAGGGAGTCTTTAATTGAAGGAAACAGATAATGTTAAAAAAATCAAACTGGACCACAGACAAGTGGTGTTTGTAGTTGGAGGTTGTCATTAATTGGAGAGGTTGTTAGTTGGAGGGAGACCTGTATAATACTAAAGTTAAAACTATTTACTGATGGGCTGTCTGCTGATATTCAGATTAAACAAATTGCTCGAGTATCTGATAGAGATTGTGGTTATTTTTTCTTGCCTATGTATAGAAACGACCGGACTCTTAAGCCTGATTAATTTCTGTTTACTCAGGGGATGTCCAGGCGCCACAATAAGGCGTGATGTAGGTTTAACTTCCTTGTTGATTCCTAGAGTAATGCCTAATCTTTCTAATATGCTATACATTATTAGTCTATCGTTCCTTCTGTTTCTTCTTTTTTTTAATAATAGAAAATGCATCTGGCCGCCAAACACGATGGTAGCGTTATACATTCCCAATGTTTTCACAATGTCCAGATATTGATTGCCTAAAGAAGTGTTATAAAGTCATTTTTTATGCGAAATACGTTAAATAAATAGTACACGAATTGCAAGCTAGTATAAAATGAGATTTAGTATCAATTGCATTAGCATTTCTTAGTCTATAGGCCTATTCAGTATTAAGGCATTAACGAATGCCTTTTTTTTCCACTATTCATGTACAGTAGTATGTATGTGTTTAAACATAGAATTCATATACAAAATTATTTACTTCAAATTTAAAATTTTAAACAAGACAACTCTTAACTAATTTTTAACAAAACAACTATTAAAGAATTCGTATAGAAAATAAGTTACTACAAATTAAACATTTTAAACAAGACAACTATTATCCATTTCATTTAGGAGTCTTCGATATTGTGATTGAGAAAGGTAAATTGTACGGGATATTATTTAAAAACAGATTATGTAAATTAGGCCTATGTTACCGTAATGAAGTAGTTGTAACAATGTTAATTAATATTGCATCTGATTTGGTGTGACCTGCATTAGGTTAAGAAGTATATTCGCAACACCATTTTGAAAAAAACGTTACTTTCCAAACACAAATAATTATCTTTATTTTCTTTTTCCTTTTTCCTAGTCCTATAGTACCTAAAAGTGTATGAAATTCAGAATGATCAGAGTAGATACAGTAATTGGGTTTACATTGCATGGTAGAATTGGTAATATGAATGGCAGACTAGGATTGGTTAATCCTGTAACAAGTGCTAATAATCAATAAATAGGCTAATTCTGCAGAGATTACAAGTTTATATATTTTTGAGGATAGGTTGACCTTGATGATAGGTAGATAATTTGGATATAATACCAGGCACATAACATAGGTTAAAAATTTCCTGCACGAATAAAATATATACGAGCGGTACTGGGTAAAGATAACTTGATTTTTGCTTTGAACAAGGTATCCATTCTGAGAAGTCGTATGAAGATAACCCTATCCAATAGATGATCTCACCAAATGTTCTTCAAACAAATTTATATTTTATATTAGTGACCTATTATGTACGAATCCTCTGGGTGTCAAATATTTGTTTATGTATGATAAAAATTATGTATGATAAAAATTAAGCGTTTTAGTCTGATCTCTGTTAGAAAAACTTCAATGGTAAACAATTTAATAATATCATAAAAGTTTCTTCAAACAAATTTATTGCACGATCGAATTGGACGTTGGAAGTAGCTCTATCTGCAAATACTGCTGGCCTATTAAGTACGAATCCTCTGTTTCTCAATGAATTTATTTATGATAGCATTAATCAAGAGTAAAATTTTTAGTCTGATCTTCGACCTAGGCAAACCTTTGCTAAAAAGGTACACTTTCTCCATCAAAAGGCTTCTTCTATGAATGGAATGACCTGTTCGAAGCACGAACTCCTGTAGACCAAACCCAGTACCGTTACGATTTTTAATCGTACGGGAACAATTTATGCATCAATTTATATAAACTATATTTTCCATAAATGATATGCTTATATTAAGAGATATGGTGTATAATCGATTTTGTTTTAAATGACAGCAGTTAATTTGCATATTATTTAATACAATTTAATTATAATTGTTAGTGCGTTTGAGGCGTGCTAAAAAGAACTGTGTGCAAAAGGCTGATGACGTATTAGTGGTTCAGCATATAAAAATATAAGGTATCGACAATTTAGATTTGGTGTTAACAAGACGTTGGCATCTTGAAAGACGCGTTTTTACAGTCTCAACTGAATGACGAGAGTTCAGTAGCCGTTCTGATCACCAAATATTTTGAGAATGTTCTCATTGTTTGGGTTGACTTTTCCAAATTCGTCTGGAAACTTATCTTCAAGTGTTTTCCATATGTAGTCCGCTGTGAGTGCGTGGGCGAACTAAAAAAGAAATAATTAAGAATATAATAAAAAGATGGAAAACAAGATGACATGTCTTTCAATATTTGTTTTGGCAAATCTTATTTTGATAGACCATAGTCGTATGGTTGAGCATCTGCAGCTTTTATGAATATGCTATTACGTTAGTACCTGGTTCGGGTGGAACCCATCCACTGGTTCGATAAGCTGCCATGCCTTGCCTCCTTGTTTCTTCCAGGCATTGATTACTATCGTGAACAAGATAATAGAAGAAAAATATTTTATTATTAAAGTTCAATAGAAAATTACAGTGTCGGGTTTTACTCTTTTCATTAAGAAAAATATTGCTATTAAATATAATTAATTAGATGAATCTAACAGCATACGTGCTTAGTGTTATCATCTAGGCCTACTGTTCATGTTCGTCCCGTTCGACGATGCCGTACATAAGAGGAAAAGGGGGAATTTGTTAAGATTTTGATGGGCGCCATCCCGATAAAAGATAAAATAAAATATTTTTTACTACTACGATTTTATTGTTTTTCCATGATTATTACGTCATTATATTTTGATTTGTGAAAAAAAATTTCTTGTATCGTGCACGATAAATCGTTATCGAATCGTGATAGTGTGAAAACTTCTCTTATCTCTTTTATTTTCTGTATATGAACAATTGTTTTTTAGCTTTTTATCGTCATAGTTATCATTGTAAGTATAAACAGGCCTTTAAGCTTTTCGTGTTTGGGATTTCTGCTCTCCGAAGTGCGTACATCACAGTAATTACCGTTAGGCTATCTTCCGATTTTATGCGCACGATTGTTTACTCATTATACTCAGTGAAGACGACTATTACGGAAATGCCTGGTCACTTGTAACAAAAACCTACTCATAAATCTGTCAGATATTTTACACCTCTTTAAAAAAACAGAGGATTTAATCTTGTTTAACTGTAGGTCCAATGTACAATTTATTCTGTTGGATGTATTGTGCTATACTCTACGTACTTACCAACGTGAAAGTCAAAATCTATATATTCTACTCTAAAATTTGCGAACATCTGACTCTGCGATGCCTCTTTAATTGCCTCGCTAAGTTGCCTTGCCCTCTGAGAAAGAATGAAAATGTAATGATAATAATAAATAATATTTATAACTGCAACAATAATAACAACAATAACAGTTGTAATTCATCTCTTAATTATTCAGTCTGAATGATGTTGTTTTTCCTGTATTACTGTACTGTTACCATGTCTATTTATAATTTGATTTATTTTTAATATCGAGCAAATTCTGTAGACCTATCACTATTATTATCGTAATCAGGCTAAAAACACTTGCCCAAGCCTTGCCACCAACCCGGAGTCTCAAAAAAAAAATATTTTTTTTATTTTTTAGAAAACTATATTTCTCACCCAAAATGACCCCACAATGCCATTTGATACCTTAACTATTTTTAGCCCTGTGGTATCCATATCAACGAAAATGGTGATTGGGCAGGGAGGGGAGATGATGAGCCGTAGACTTGCGTACTTACCAACCTCCTTATTATTATTTGCTATATTACTGTATAGGTCTAATATTATTATTAATAGTATTAGTAGTAATAGTATTATTCGTAAGTGTATTATTAATAATACAAATTAAAAAAAAAAAACAAAAAAAAAAAAACGATTGTGTACTTAAGCAGTTAAGCAAAGAATTGCTAAGATTAATTACGGTACTTGTTTGTGTTTTTTCTGTTACTTTTGTTGATGTTGTTAAATATTCAAATAATACTGATCATCAGTGAAATATATTTAAATGCATGTAATCTCTGGTACTTCAACAATTAATGTTCTGAATCTTATAACAAATTTGTTTATAGCCAGTTTTTTTAATAGCTTATTAGCCAAAATTATTTTACCTCTGACGTAATATTTCTGAGCGTTTCATTGGTGGAGAGCCATCCGTTGCATGGCGATACCTGCAGACAAGATAGATACTCGTAGATGTCCCTGTATCGGACGTCCTGATTGAGCTGGCCTAAAGGATGGAACCTGTCTGCTAACGTGTCGTACAGTATTCTTCCGTCCATCATTCCCGTCATCAACACCAAACTGCCGTTTGGGAGTACTTTGTCCTGTGGACAGGGCGATTTTTGGGGCAATCATTAGGCCTACTGTTTAAGATACTAGAGCATCTCTTAAAGCTTCCGTGGCAAATGGGCTTATTAATGTAATATTTTATCATTTAACTCTAAATAATGCTGTGGTAATAAAGAATAGGAATTTTGGTGATGATGATTATGATGTTAATATTATATTGTTAAAAAAAATACACAGAAAGCAATATTATTTCAAACGACCAAAAACACAATTTATTTCTTGAATATTTGTTTGGCGAGTATCAATAACAAAATCATAAAACTTCCGGTACACCATGTGTAATAATTTTTTAAGTAAAACCACGACGTTTCTGTGAGATTGCTCAGACCGTCGTCCGGAGAATCTGACCGTCATTCTCCTGATGACGATCAGAGTAATCTCACCGAAACGAGACAACCAACCAGTGGTTTTTACCTAAAAAATTATTACACCTGGTGTACCGGAAGTTTTATATGATTTTATTATGATTAAACAGTTTTAAAAGTTCTAAGTATCAATTAGGCCTAAACAAAATAGGCTAGACGTAAAAAAAGGGCCTAAATAAAGAAATATAAAAGAGGAATTTTGCAGAAGTTAAGCCGGGTTCACACTCTGTCGACGGCCATCGACCGACGCGATTGAATTTGAATTGTATGATGGCAGTGGTAGTAGTGATGATGATGATAGTAAATGGTGAGGTTACAGTGGTTGTAGTGGCGCTGCACGGAGGGAGGGGGGTGCGGGATGCAACAACAAATTTGTACCACCACCCCCCCCCCCTTCTTTGAAAATGATACGCCACTGTTGTGGTGATGGTTTGCGAATGTATGCAAATCATGATGCAATTAGATTAGATCAGATCAGATCTATGTAAAGTAAGACCATACCATCTTTATTAACGCATTTATTCAGTAGGCTTACAAACACATATGGCCAAATGTATTACATACTGTATTTATTTTGATTTGACTTAACAGCCGGTGAAAAGGATTATTCGAAACATGTGATTGGTAATGCAGGTAGTCCCTCATCTCTCTCAAATATTTCTTGGGACATGAATGATACAACGAGCCTCTGACATTAACTAAATCCATTTAATCATATCATGTAATATTTAATGAAAAAAAATCGATTTACTAACCAAGTATTTCAACGACGATAATGCACTCGCTTTCATTTCTGCTGGTTTGGTCATGTGATCAATAGTGTCTGGGTGCCTGGAATGAGTGAAAGGGTGGAAATTAAAATTTAAAAAAATCAGATTTATAAATAAATATACTGGTAGAAACATATTAATAAATATATAAACATATCTATTGATAGATGGATAGAATATCGATTATAGGCTAATCAACATGAATGCAGAGTTCGATAAATTAAATTGATCGATAATTAAAAAAACATATTGAAAGAGATACATACAGGTACTGTCCATTTGGCACACTACCACCAGTGCATTAGTATGTATACAATTTAAACAAATTATAGAGTAACACATCCTGATAATTTTTAATCTAAATTTAATCTTCTGAATAAACTAAGATAGGCCCTATTAACTTACCAATTACATACGTCATTTCCGAGCAACGAATAAATCACCACTAATGGGTTGTCGGCCTTTTGGTCACGTGCAAGACTAAAGGAAGGAAAATGCACTATTTTTGATCTAATATTTTAAAAATGATATTTGAGAGGTCAGCACCTGCATTGTATGTATTTCTGGTCTTGGGTTAAAATCCAAGTAGAGCACAATTCAATTGCACATTTTGAGGTTCAAAACAAAATAATAATAGCCGTACTTGAATATTTACTTGCAACATATTTACTACATTACACTATATATAATCAACAAATATAGGCTCTGTACTCAACGAAATGTGATTAAATGGAAAAGGCAGGCTATGAAATAAGGTAAGTAATACGCATGTAAAATTCAGTTGTGCAATAGTTATCAAAATGTATCTTTATTTAGTAAATTAAAGCTTATAATATTATACAGGTTTTTATTATTAAGATTGGGTATGTGAAGTATGTTTATCTTGTTGTCATTTCTTTTGCTGTTGCTGATTATTTTTTTAAATTAATATCATTATCGTCATTGTCATCATCATCGTCATACTCATTATTATCATCATCAAAATCATTATCATCATCATTATTATAAACGTCATCATCATTATTTATGATATACGTGTGCTCCTTAAGCATCACATTATGTCTTTTTTAAATGGAAATTATTTCTCTTCAGATGCATTCACACTGAATCTGGTTCGGTAAGCTTTCCAATTTGAAAATTTGGTCAGAAAATCGGATCAGTGTATAAAACCGTGTTCACATGGGATCAGACCGAAATTTGGACCGCTGCGTTTCCAATGAGCTGAACGCCAGTGTTCCTATTCTTAAACATTGATCCGATATTCTGATTGGTTTGGTAAGCTTTCCGATCCGAAAAGTCGGATTTGGTGCAGCTTAAAAATATGAATGCTGGTGTTCAGTGCATCGTAAACGCGGTCCGAATTTCGACTCGGATCAGATGTGAATTCAGTTATAGGCCTACCTATATTGAACTGTCCTGTTCATCGAAACGGTTGTTGCACCTATAACAAAAATAAAATATTATGAATTGATTTATGTCATTGGTGAATACAATGTTGTCCTTGCATAATTTTAACACAACATTACTGATTATTTTATTGGGATTATTCAATATTTTGTACTTCTAGACAAGTATTTAATTATATTTACCATTGACACCAATATTCTGGTAATCTCTGTGGTTGCATAGATTTCGTTGACGCATACGGAGATATAACGAGTCAGTAGGTCCCCTGAAAACATTTCAGCAGTTAATAATTATTAGTTTTTCTATAAAACGTATTTTGTTTCTCATCAAATGGGCCAAACATAATCTGATTTATTCAAAAATTGCTGAAGGTGGTGTGATGTAGTAAAATAATTATATTGCCATAAAAATAAGGAAAAATAACGTCAAATGAAAGAGTGGGCGTAGCAATATTTTGACTACCTTCTTGTTGTAATACAATTCAAGGAGAAAATAAGCTCAAATAAACAGAAAATATTACGATAATAGAATTCAAAATTGTACTTATGAATTTTGATTTATCCGGTAACTATAATTAGGCCTATTCATTCAACTGGTAGGACCGCTTTTGGCAAAAAACTTAAAAATACTTTCGTTAAAAATTTGTTCGCTTCGGGAGAGGTGACGGCAATGGTGGTCCACTTCACGATAGAATTGTAAGTTTTTATTGTTAGTGTGAAAAAAAAATATCTTTAGAATAGTAGGTCTACTTACTCAATTGTTTTCCAAGTGGAAGTGTTCATGAAACCTAAAACACATCGAAAAGCTCAAATTAATGACCATGATTATTGATAAATTAATGTGTTAGTAGACGTCATTTAATATCCTACATGTTGGTTCTGTTTGGAATAGACGATAGACAACACAGCTACAATTGTGGTGAATAATAATTCATAACTAACCTCCGGCTTATCCTTCCTTAGGAGTTATCATTGTGCCCTCTGCTCATCCACAATCGGCTAGTTCTCGGTGTATGGTAGAGTTTCCCAGCAGCATTCCTCGACATGGTTGTATTTTTTTTGTGTAAATAATCATACAATAATCTTGACCATTCCCCAACCAGTAAATGATAAATTTGAGGGTGGGGTGGGCTGTCTCTTATACACATCTAGATGTGTATAAGAGACAGGAGTATAAATTTCAGCGGAGGCCAGTGGAGCACCAGACCCCAACCAGGATCCAGAAACCTGGTCAGGGTCTCGAGCCTGTGAGCTCGACGACATCTTTTAATTCATTTCAGTGCGTTAGTGGTAGTACGGTAGTAGTTAATAACTTTTAATATCCACCGCAATTTTAATTAATTTTGAGCTATAGATACCTCAATATTCTGTAATTATTTTCCGAAATAAGAGATGAAATGAAATGAAATTGTAAGTGTGCTAAACAATTTTTGCCTTTTTATTTCAATAAAAAATTAATGCTGCCCTCACCTGTCGAGTATGAAACTTGTGGCCAATCAAATTCGTTATCAATCACCATAGGCATCTCTTTGAAAATATCCTGAATAAGGAAGAGATATTTTGAAAGAGGCGTAATTGTAAGAAAATATCCAATGAATATTGAATATGCCCTTACTGCTATATCAGAGACGGATCCAGAGATGTCCGAAAAGGTGGGGGGGGGGCGAAAGTGGGGTCGATCGACATACTGTAACACCGCCCTATAAGGGGGTCCGGGGGCATGGACATAGTGTAACACCGCCCTATAAGGGGGTCCGGGGGCATGGCCCCTCGAAATTTTTGTTATTTAGACGCCCGATAATAACCTCTAAGGCGTTTTGGGCGATCATATTTTTTCTTTACTTTCTTTCTTTTTTTATTTTATTTTTACTTTTACCTGTATATTCTATTTACAAAAAAAACCAAAAAAATAAAAACAAAATAGAAAACACAACATAATATAAAGCTACCTTGTTAATTTCAGCGGGAGTAAACCAATTTACAGGAATATGAAAGTGTGCCGTAGCTGAATCACCAAGTATAGCCAATCCCATTGGTCGACTGCCTTTACAGAATAATTCCTCGTAAGATTTTCCCGATTTCGGATCAACACCCTAAATAAAAGTAGCCAATAAAAATTAAATGCAACCATCACGTTTTACGTTCAATAATTTTATATATATTTTATTATTTAAATATTTCAAGTAATTTTATACATTATTACAAAATTACTTACCATTATGCCATTACAATTCGAATCTTCAACTATATCATCATTCACCGGTCTAAAGAAACAAGGTGGAGAAAAATCTATTTCACGTTCCTTGTCATTGAGAGCATACTTTTTGAAGCGACCGGAAAGCAACTTTATTAATGTTCTATGTTAAAAGCTTGGAATATGGCACAATGGTATAATTATACCAAATCAATAATGTTTAGACCTAGATACCATTGTGAATTAAAGTTACTATAGATTAGTAATTACTAAATTAGCAATAATAGGCAACATGTGTATATCAAAGCAAACATGAGTGTTTCCATACAAAATCAACCATAACTCGATAAATTTAGATTTTGTAAAACTACTCAAAACTAGGTGAATTTGTATATTTGAACGTATGTAAACTTATCAAAAAGCATTGGTAAATGTTTCTAACTTTATGCCGCTAATTTTGAATCAGTTTGATTATGAATTAAGTTAAAAGCAGGCGAAAAGTGTAAAGTTTCAAAATATAGAAATTCACGCATTTAGCATAGCCTGTCGCTGTACACTGTTACGACTATTTAAGATCGTCAACGATCACATGAGCCGTAGGACTGCACATGGGACCAATTGTATAAACGTCTTAATGAAGCAAAGGTCTATAATGATTTTCGTTGTTTAGCTAAAGTGCACACAGTGACTATCAGTTTCATAAGCAGCTTATGTGGAACTCGGTCGATTCCGAGTAGTGTGACGTCCACTCATTCGTTCGACTGTTGGCACTCGATAATTGCTTTCGATTGGTGCTTGCAAAATACAATTTAAACATATAACAATAACAGCCAAAAAAGTCTTTCATTTTCAGTAAGACGTCTTGTTAATATTACTAATACATATATTAAGGTATTAATGCTTCCTTCACCGCAGATATGATTACATACTCACCTTCGCCCAGGGTAGAAGTCGGCCTGTCCGTCGTTGCAATCTCTCCCCCGCCAATACGACCCACGCAGTGTCTAGACAGAGGACGAATAATCTGTTGTAAACAAATGGTATCTATTTATAGATGGAGGTGGGTGTGGGGTGGTGGCAAGTGGGGTCCGAAACAATACTTTCGGTTCGAATACGGAATGTATAGCGTAATAATTCGTACGTATACCAGAAATACACATGCTAAAGTTAAGCGAGACGAATATCCAACACGAAGAATTACTATATTTAGCTTTGATACTCCAGGAAGCAATAATAAAAGTCTGCTCAAGACTTTTAATTTTAGGCCTACAGAGGGACAAAGAACATTTCTGGCAAAGGCAACACATTTTCAGGGCCTGCTCCAAAACCCACAAAACAGGATTTTTTTTTACGGATCCGGGGATTCTAACTTTATTGACACCTAATTTAATATTGTTCCTAGAAAATTGCAATGGCGGAGGGCCCTATAGGAGGTCCGCAAGGCATAAGTATATAAATGACGCTCTTTTCACAATTAGTGGCGGCTCTAGGATATATTTTCTTGGGGGGGGGGGACTTGAGCTCGTAGGCTCGAGCTGGGGGAAGGGGTTGAGAGGGGCTTCCCCCTCCCAAATGATATATTTTTTTAAAGAATATCAACCTCTGGGTGGCCGAAAATTGCACTCTCAGACTGTGACAGTGTGTTGGCTTGGTGTGGGCCTATTTTTATATGTTTTATGGTCTGACTGTCCGACGAGCTCTGTCCGGCGATGGGGGACCTTGACCTGTCTGATGGGGACTTAAGCCCCCTGATTTGGATCCTTCTTCCGAGCAAATACTGGCGTCACCACAGAAAAAATGTTTGAATACGGATTTTGTTTTCATGCAAATTGAAATTGTCAAGCAAGCTCCCCAGCTTCAACACCCACACCCCTTCCCAAAAGTACCTGTCTATCTATGCCCATGATATATGTGACTCGACAATACCAACTTTGGCTAAGCGAACATGACTGGCAAGAAAGCAAGGGACAGATCTCAAACGACGACATCGCCACCTTCTGAATCTGAGTACATATCATTAGTTTTGCCAATTTATCAAGAGCCGTTTAAATTTTAACTTCCTCCCATTTGAAATATTATAATGCGTAGTCTATGAGACAAGGCACCAGCAAGCTCAATCTTCTTCAGGTATTTAGCCCAGCAGCACTATCCCTCGTGTAATCCATGTTTATGAGGTCCCCGGGAACCAATGCAATTTTAGGCTTGCTGTAATGATATTCTGTATACATTACAATCTAGTGATTGAAATTATAAGGTTAATAGGTTAAGTTCCTATTCGATTACAACGGTAATGTATCCTAAGCACAACAATTTAACTTGAATATTTAGTACCCTACATACGAAAGCTACTGAGTAATGCACTATTACATATCCTATGATATGGTTTTAAGATGTTACTTCACTTGCTATATAGTGCTTGGACTGAATAAACAACTCTACCATATTTATACTATCTTGTTTTTGTGTACTGCCCCCAACGTGGGCGTAGACACTATGTCAATCAATCAATCAATCAATCAATCAATTTATTAGGAATAACACCTTAAGATCGGTGGCACACACAACAATAATAGTTGTGCATTCAAATTAACAAGTTTTACAGACAGTGAGGTAAATTAAAAGTAGGCGTATAAAGAAACACAATTTAAAATAATATGTTTAACTTAATGCTAAACAAAACCTAGAAAATTAATTAATGCAATTGATAAAAATTGAAACAGGACAATAACAATCACAAACCTGTATATCAAACAAAAGCAACATATAAAATAAATTTAGATTTAAAAATGAAAGACAGAGAAAAGTCAAAAGTGGAACAATGTCAATAAAAAATTGCTTATTAATAAAAATTATTTATGGAATTATGGAAAGGGATTAAAATCGATATATTTCGGACAATCAGAATGAATAATTATAAGATCCTGTAGTATATAATAATGGAAGCGGTGGCAACGCAATTTAGATATGAAATGTTGAACTTAACTTAAAGCAAACAGACCGATAACATAATGCATAAGGACAGATAAAACATCACAGTCTGTATATTAAACAAAAGCAAAAATTAAGGATATATTTAAAATTCTATAATGAAAGATAAACAAGTGTCAAAATTAGCATCATGTCTTAATGAAAAATTTCTAATAACTAAACAATAGAAAAATAATAAATGTTTACAAAGATAACATTTTAATTATGGAGCGGTAATGCAATTAATATATTTGTTCTAGCTCTCCATAAAGCAACCAGATATTGTTTGCAGTGACGATCTACAATTCCTCCTAATCTTTCATTAGGGAATGCTGTATAGAGATCGTCAAGCAAAATATGATGCTTAAACTACCATTTACGAAATTATCCCAAAAAGAATGGTATCCATAATATAACAGCTCTTCTTTAAGGTTAAGAAAGTGTTTTTCTCTGATAGAATTAAGACTTTTACATAGATGTGTATAAGAGACAGCCTTCGTTCCTGTCCTATCACAACAATCTACTGTTTCACGGGGTTCTTTGAATTTTCTTCCTTCTGCATACGATTCTGATCCACTAGAAATAGATAGGCCTAGTTTTTCTCAATGACGTATGAATTACCGTTGTTATTGATGTTAATTAGTAATGGTAGAAGAAGAAGATATACATAAAATGAACGTCGGGATGGTGTTAGTACTATTACTAGTATTAAAAGAGTCGACAGAAACGTTGGAAGCTATGCCTAGTTTAGTAGTGCAGCAGTTGTTAAGGGTATTGATTGCTTCGAATGTTTACTGTGATAGTGAGTTCAACAGTCCATCTGTGACAGGGGTTCTCAACTAGGCCTAGGCTAGACATATATCGCAGTAGGGGAAAAAATGGTTCATTGAATAAACACTGAATAAATTTTACATAACCTTGGCATTACCTTACAGACGCGTGTGAATGCTTTTTATCTCGGTAGGAATAACTCGGGAGATCGCTCGGTTACAATTTGTTACTTTTTGTTAAATTTAACTTCACGTGTGAATCGGGTAAAAGTTGACAATAACCTGAGCATGTGTTAGACTGTCAGAGTTAAGGTCGTCGTAATCCATTTTCAGCCTATTGTGTTAATATGCTAATTACGCCTTGCTCTATCGTTCGCTTGACTATCATATAATGCAAATTTCATAGCACTCCTCTCGTTCACCTGTTGAATATTCTTATGCAAATTGCGTGCTACTTTCTCTGCGGAGGAATGACTGATGTGTTGGATACCGCCTTGCGTAGCGATATCGGTTCAGTAGCATATAGTCCGCGCTGTCGCGGGAGGGTTGGTTAGATTTGAATCGGTTGAGACCGATAATGACGTACGTAACCGCAAACAAAACGGATAGCAGTGATTGGTAGTTGACACACTAGCCGGAGTGAAGTGTGAACCAAGGACACTAACTTGTTTTGTTACATATCTGGAGTAATGCATCATAACCACGTATTGTATTGCACAACATTATTCATTTAATGAAATATGTTAATGCGTATTAAATGTATATTGGATTAATGTTATATGTATAGACCTATTATGTGTATAAGCCTATATACGATACCTATATGATTGTTCGATTCAGTAACTGATCAGTAATGCGATATTGATCACCATGAAATATTATGAATATAATATGTAATGATATTGTCTAGATACACATTCACTACTGGTGCTTACGAAGAGTAGCTCAGCTAATGAAGTCCTTGTTGACAGGCCTGGCTTAATTTATATTCTACTTTGTTTATAGTGATGTGTGTGTGTGTGTGTGTGTGTGTGTGTAATTAAATATTGAATATAGATATTAATTGTTTTGGTCTTTGTTATTGTGTCTGCGTCAACCCCAGTATAACTATTAGTTCCAGTACCATTGTTGATTTTGAAGAACATTTCGTCACCATATTACCGTCCTTCTAAAACTAGAGGTAACATAGACCAACTTTGCTTTCTACCTTCAAGAGCTAATGGATTAGTCCTTATTTTAAATTTTAGACTAACCGAGTCACAATTTACTTTATCGAATAGATACTACTCAGATTTCGGTTCACTTTTATGTTTCACATAATCAGATAAGGTTAATTTTGCCCTTTCATACCATAATTTAGCATTGTCATACGCATTTTTCCTAATAAATGAATATAGCCAGGAGTTATCTTGTTATAAATTAAAATACTCAATTAGATCGAATTTCTGTAGCAACTATTGTATGTAGGTAATCTATTTCCATTTGACATTATGTCTGACCTCATTATAAAGATTTACAAAGTAATTTTTGCCATCTACTATCCATATTTTTTAGCCTATTTGAAATAATTCATTCTAACTCTGTTATGTGTGTGAACAAGATTCCCATCCTAAATCGCCAAGAAGAGCTTTTTTTGCTATATTTCTTGGAGCCTATAGTACAATTCTCGCCATTCTATATTGTATGTTTTCAAGCTTTTCAATAGAACTTTTGCTGTTACAAAACCAAACAGAGCATGCATAATTAATTGTTGGAAGACCTATTGTTTTCCACAGTAGGTCGCCATAGTACACCCTGTTAAAGTTTTCCTATTGTTTATAATAATTGAAGTGATATAGGCGATTATCCAATTACACTTTTTAATTACGTCTTCATTTTGTTGTGTCAGTGTCACATAGAGCTATTAAACAACTAGAGTGCTGACAAGATGGCGAAGCAATGCAGAGTTATGTATATGTACTATCCAAGATGGCCACCGTAGGAAAGCGCCACCTTCAGGCTTAGTATACATATTATTACCATAAATAAACCTTCTGACTGACTATTATTTTATTAATTATAATTAGTATTGATAACAAATTATTGAACTATCGTAGCCAAAAAGAGGCTAAGTAGAGCATCTTATTCAAAAATTTAAAACAAATAAAATCGTGTACGTGCAACGCTCGAGTTTCAAACATACGGTAACTAGCTGTACTAAACTTTCTGTGTAAGTTGAAGGCGAAATTTGATTGGCAGCCATCTTGGATGGTACACACACAGCCCAGCTGCGTATTTCGAACATCGAATACATTGCAGTTAGCGCTCTAGTATTCTTATATCTCTGCTATGTCGTGATTACCTGTCATGATGTAGCAATTAAAGATGGCGGAAAAGGGTAAATCTGGTTTAGGCATGATGGGTACTACTACCACGAAGTAGGGGCGCTCTCTTGACAATCGAATAGCGTTCGGAACTCGAACAAAAATTGCGTTCGAAACTCGAACACGCGTTATAGAAACTCAGCACGCGTTCGCCATGAACGCCTTTTAACGTCATTTGAAGGACGCCCTCTAGAACAAGGTAGTACTCTTCGTGATAACACACGACATAACTTGGTAACTCCCAGAGTTACTCATTTTTAAAGTGTTTTAGTGTAATATAGTAGTAGGCCTATACAGAATATTGTTATGAAAGAAAGTTTTGATGAAAAATCCAGATACACTAAAATAATATCTGGCAAATATTTCAATAATCATACATAAACAAATTTCATACCTTACATTTGATACACTACAATGCATAAAACTGTAATTAACATATGGAAGGGAGTTGGGAGGGGTGGGTATATGGGGGTATAACTGAATTAAGTCTATCTTAGTTTAATACAAATTAATTATGTTGCTTTGCTTTTGATTTGTATACCTTGTTTCACTGCATCTATGCATTTTTTATTTTTTTTATTTGTATGAAATTGTTTGTTTTATTCTGGCCTGTGTGGATCAAATAAAAAAAAAAAGATTAATCGATTGAGTAGGGAGGGATTTATTCGTGTATGTGTACACAAATGTATTTTTATATTATTGTATTGTTTTATTATTTTATTTTTAAGTTTACTACCCTATTTCTCAGTTTCATTTTAATTATTTTTTAAGTTTGTGTCAATTATGTTTTATTTGTATATATTATACTGTAATTAAGTGATTCATTATATTGTATTTTAAGTTGAACGCCGATCTAAAGGCGTATGTTCACAAAGTAATAATAATAATAATAATACACAGATCTGCATATTGAAGAACATAAGATAAAATTTAAAAAAAAAACTCCTGTATAAGGCAGTAGACACACGCTCCCGCTGGGAGCCTATTTTTCATTATCTGTCTTTATTTATACAACGAAAGAAACGTTACACTTGCATTCTCAATGCAGTTTACCTTAATTTCACTAAATTTATCATTGTCCAGGTCCAGCACTGGAAGGTAGTCATCTAGCTTCCTGAATGAAACAAAATTTTATGAAATTATGAATGAACTTCTTCTGACTTATTTGTGTGATGTGCCCATATATGGGCATGCATTTCACATTTATTCGTCACATAAAAATGTATAGTGTGGACAGAGCTTAAGGAACTTAACGTGAGTAAATATAATTATAAATAAAATAATAAAATAGGATACATACGTATATATTTCTCTGCACAATGCTTTCAAAACAGGAAGGGAATCACATATACTGTTTCGTATTTTCTCGACCTGTAATCGTTTAATAAAGAGATCGCACAATAACATGATAATTAGGACTATTTAGCGTGTCGACGGAGGGCAGGACGGGGGTAGTGGGGTGGGTGTCCCCCACCTATCCAAAAAAATAAAAGCTTCTTTGCATAAAGGCTCCACTGAATATTTGCTCAGAAAAACAAAATGCGCTCAAGTAACTTTAATTTGCCAGCTAGCTCGCTCACTTACTTATTCCTCCACTTTATTTGTACCCTCACCATTCCCCACTCCATGCCAGTATTCCTAGAAGTGCTATTAAGTAACTGATATTATATAAGAAATAGCAGTTCGCCATGACCTTCGAGATTTAGGGTGGTCTCGCGTGGTTCAGTCCCCGACTGAAGATTGTTGTTTAGTTCTTTGAAAAAAAAATTGTCTTGAATTAGTGGAGTCTCGAATGAAAGGGTGCATTATATCATAATAGTGTTTTCTTTGTACCGTATGTTTATCGATTTCTTCTTTCCAAATGGGATTTATATGATCTAGTTTTCTCCGTATGGTGGATGTCTTCTGGAAGATGCGGCACTCTTTCTGACCCGGATCCGTCCTACAGATTCCGATAGCATGACACGCTACATCAGCATGAACGTCTTCTTCAAGTCTAAAAATGGCATTTTAGATGGTTATTTCAAACTAGCACTGTTTAAAGTGTATCGTTTATTACATTTCAAGCTCTAAAGCTACGTTCACATCAAGCCCGGATTCCGGTCCGGAATCCGGAGAAAAAATCGTGAAAAATGGGTTCAGTGGTAAAGAATAGGACCATTCACATCAAATTCGTACAATTTTCAATCCGGACTCCGGATCTGGACCGATGGATCTGAGACCCATTTGTATCCTGAACTCTTGGACCAATCAGGAACAAGCTTGCTTGGTTCGAACCAATCGAACGCAGACGTACTTAACCCGAACAACCTGTTCCGTGCGCGATGTGAACGCAGCGTTCAAAAAACGTAGCAACTCACGATTTTTTGTCCGGTCTCCAGACCGGATCTGGGCTTGATGTGAACGTAGCTTAAAGCTGGGCATCCAATGCCAGCGACCGTCGTCAGCTGACGCGATTCTATGAAGAACGCAACATCACGACGCACGCACAACGCATCGTCGCGTTTTTAATGACGATCTGTTAATAGTGCAACCGACAGGCAGATGACGTCGCGATGTCTAACGCTCACCGACGAGTCCAACTCTATCCGCTCCCTGACAGGGAGTTGAGTTGGATTCGTCGGCAGCGGCGTATCTAGGTAAGAACGGGCGCCAGTGCATGATTAATTGCCGTGCCTTCTGATGCGAAGCGTCATCCGAGGGCCGTAGATTTGAGCTATGACTAGTGGGAGGGGGTGTGCTGGGAGCTCCATACCGCTCGGTGTTTGGGAATCCCTGAAAGCTTTAAATTTTCAGGAGCAGTATTTTGAATTTAAAGAATGAAAATTCTCAACGGCAGTCCAGTCTCGAAAGACTATGCATCAGGCACATGTGGAGAAGGATAAACATTAAAATGTTATTGTTTATTTGTTTATTTATTTATTTGTTCAATGCATCATTTTTTTGCCATAGTAGGCCTATTTATTTAATAATTTACTAATTACAACAGCAATCATAAACAATACTAATAATAAGAATGAAAAGCAAAAAAAAGATAAAGATTCATCAGATTGATTTGATAGACTAAGGTCTTTGACATCGTTTAGTGTGGCTGTAAAGTATAATGCGCAAGTGGCAGTCTATTACATTTTCTGCAGATGTACGAAGAGTGCAGTGTGGAGAGAATTTTTGCAGCGTGCTTCCTTCGAACCCTCTTCTCTGCTGCTGCAGCTGCAACTGACCTCTCTTAACATCGACATCTGCGATGCCTTGGATGGCCTGGCTGCAGGAACCGCGATCAGCCTGAATTTCCCAGCTTTCTGAAGATATATGGCATGACCTCATGTCTCTTTCACAAGCGTCCTTCAATCTAAGTGAAGGGCGACCAACACGTCAGGTGTCCATATTATATACGATGTTTATTATGTAAACTTCTATCCTCCTCCTAGTGGAATGTCGCTTCCTGGGCTTTATCATTTGGGAAAGATTCGATGGCTTTGTGGAGTTCCATGGTGGGCACTACATCTAGTTCCTCCATTATGTTCAGATCATTCGTACCACAGATAGACAGATGTTTCGTGTGAGTATAGCTCTGTAAGGTGCTCAATCCATCTTGTCATTTGTTAGTAACACAGAGATCATGATACTTGCAGAGCTCCAGCAGGTCTCTGGCTATAATTGTTGATATTCCCAGTGCCATAGTGTCAGAGGTACGTAGGCCATCATTCATGATATGCACCTACTCTTGCATATTGAAGTCTCCAAGGAGGAGTATAAGTTCGTCTTCAGGGGCTCTTTTGATTGCCCGACCAGTTGCTCGTAGAGCTGATCTTTTATATCTTCTGATGAAATGAGGGTTGGGGTGTACACACTGATGATGTTAAAAGGACCTGCAGCAGTGCTAAGGCGAATGGGAAGCAGGCGTTCTGTGCCCCCTCACCCGATGGAGGCTCCATTGCAAGCCAGAAAGGTATTTTAAATGGCGAAACCAAATCCGTGCTGATGAGGTTCTTCAGGAGCTTTGCCATTCCAAAAGAAAGTGTAATTTTCCTCTTTGATAGAGCCACTAGAAGGAAGACGAGTTTCTTGTAGAGCAGCTATGCTGACTTTAAGTCTGGTGAGCTCCCTATCAATTATGGCTGTCTTTCTGACATAGTCGATATCACAAGGGTCATTGAAAATCCTATGCACATTGTACGCACATTCCATGGCCAGCTAGTAAAATTAAAAGCTGTGTCTTCTTTCTTTTTAAACTACGTTTTCTTGTGCATTAAATACAATTTTTATAATAATGAAAATTCTAGGATTAGGTATACCGATTCACGTTTTCGGAAAATTCATTGCAAGAAGTTCTTTTCTTTAACTCCTCCCCCCTCACCTTTTCCCCAATGGCCTACGCTAGTAATAAGTACTATGATAATCGAAATCTGCGTATTCGTAACCAGGAATTCGGAATAGAGGTGTCCAGGGAGGATCTTTCATAGATGGAGTTTTTAGACCACCTCAGCCACACCATAGGCCTAGTTGGAGCTGAGGGAAGAAAATATATATTATAGCACCTATAGATGGACAGAAATCGCACTCTCTGACTTAAATTTAAATATAATTTTCTTTTCCCTCTTATTTTAATAATTCTAAAAATTTAGGGGGACCGAGACGGCTGTTTCCATCAACCTCTTTAGAATCGGACACTGAATTGAAAAGAACACAGTAACCAATACTATTCTAAAATGTTATTGAGAGGCCCGCGGGCCGTTTTTTTTTATATACAAAAATATTAAGTTGGAAATTATGCCTAATTATTATTTATATGAATGATGGACCACTAATATTTCCCGTGGCTCCAGTAATTTGAACTGGCTGCGCTGCCCATCTCTACGCCTTTGTCGTCGGCCGACTGTCGTACGACGCATCGAGTGCCCGGTTTAAAAATATCGCATAGAGTCAACCACGATCGTCATTACAGGATGTTACTATAGGAAAATTAATGGTCGCTTCTTTTTGTACTATACAATATATACACCGCCCTAAAACTATAACGTAACATAATATATTATTAATAAAAATTACAATAATATAATGTTGATTTTAAAGCTTCAGCCAGAGAATCGTTAACCACAGTATTCTATCAAGGGAGCTGGTGTTCATAATCATCATCATAATTATCATCATCATCATCATCATTATCATCACCACCATCAATTTTGGCGTCATCGTTGCCGTCATCAATCATCATCATCATCATGATTACTTCTTCATCATTCTTATTATGGTTAATAATAACAATTAAAAAATGATGATGATTAATTATAATAATATGTTTAAATTAAATTCTCTTGATAATAGGCCTACTATTAATTGCTTACATTTTGATTAAAGTTGGAGCGGCTAAAGCAACAACGGCCCGGCATGGATTTTCATAAGTACCTGAAAATATAAACATTTATCTTATAATATTAGTTATATGTTTTATTTATTGAAGCTACCTTTTTAGCGAAGAGACCCTAGTATTTTGCACGGTACAAATGTATAACCTTTAACCTTTTAACCTTTACCTTGGCGGGGAAGTGAGTTCAAATCTTGACGCCAGGATTTTTTTTTCTTACGACTAAATAACTTCACTTTCTAAGATTCATAGAGATCTAAACCTAAAATTTGACATCGATTATGTAAGTGACAAGTTGAGAAGTATATAAGTCTTGTCACAATTGAGATTTTTTGCAACATCATTTTTTATTAGTTACTATTATAGGCCTACTTACTGGGAAGCAACTTGCAGAGTTTAGAGAGTGAATCTACAACCGTATCATTGTGGAGTTGAGCCAACTGCTCTCCCAGAGACACTAGCAACGTGCAAGCTGAAAAGAATATAAATACAGTGCATTAAATGGTGAAGAACCTAAGCCTAGTCTAGTCCTATGTAATGCAATGGAATATATAGGAGTCTTGAAATGGTGTAGAGGAGGGGGTTGATGTGGGAGCACAAAGGTCACGTAGGAGCACCATGATTAGGTGAGGTGCCCTAACTCGCAATATAATGTATTTTTACTCATGAGCGTGCTTTTTTTTTTTTTTTTGGGTGGGGGTGACGGGGTTAAGTATTTTTAGAGAGGCGTGTGCCCCCACGTCCCCTAGATACGCCATTGATGCAATGTTCCTCCAACATTTTGTCATGATGTAGCAATTAAAGACGGCGGAAAGGGTAAATCCGGTGGAGGAATGATGGGTACTGCTACCAAGTGGTAGGGAGCGCTCTATCGAAAAATCAAATAGCGTTAGGAACTCTTACAAAATTGCGTTCGAAACTCGAACATGCGTTATAGAGACGCAGCACCCTTTCGACACGAACGCCTTTTTTAACAGTCATTTGAAGGATGTCCTCTAGAACATGGTAGTACTTTTCGAGATCAACGAAATAACGCGGTAACTACAAGAGTTAGGCCTCGTTTTTTATTTCCCCTTTTAATCTTCACGTCTGAAAACCCAATCGTATAGTAGTGTATTACCAAAGCCGTACCTAGGGTGCTTAGAGAGGTTAGTAAACCTACAGAATAAAAACTGATGAGGGAGGAGGTTTTTTTTTTTTTTTTTTGCTAACCCCACCCACATTTTACTGATGTTCACAATAACCCCGCCCCCATTGACCGGTGTTCACAAGTACATCAATGGTTAGGGACAAACATATAAAAAGTCATAAGGGTGAAATTAAATTTATATTTAAAACAGATGTTTTTGTTGTACCAGTAAACATATTTGCAAGAAATCCTGAGCTTTTCAAGTGAAAAAAGATGGAAAAATTACCGTTTGAACTAAAAATATATGTTTATTGAAGAAAAAAAAAATAAAAGATTTTTCCCAAAAGTGATGAGGGAGCGGGTTATAAACTAATAATTTTTTTTATGGGGCCTTATTACTTTTTAGTATATTGTACCGGGTATATTATTAATATTCGTATAAAAGGCCCTATCCTAGGGCAGGCCTAGACCTTTACCTACCGTGCTAACACCGGCTGCTATGATGCTAACCTGAAACATCTGAAAACCAAAATAGGCCTAGGCCTTTACTTTAGCGTTCTTACGAATTTCTTCTACACTAGGGCCTAGTAGTACTAGACTAGGCCAAACTATTACCAAAGGCCGTATCTAGGCTTAGGCCTAGAGGTTCAAAATTGCAAATTTACTTTACTGATACTAAAGTATTAGAGCTTGGCCTATAGCTAGCTAGCTCCTAGCTAGTTATACCTTGCTAAATACCTGTGTGTCATGGCCTGCTAACCATGACTTGCTAGGCCTAGACTAGTAAGGCCAGATTTATTTTCAAAAATATTAAACCAAGGCATGCTATTTTGTCACAGGGTAAAAGTATCCATTAAATAGACACCTCCTTCAGAAATTATATTGCATGTCGTATCCCATTTAACAAAACATTTCCCCTAGGGTAAATCCACATACATGTTCGAAGTTAACATGTACGCCAACACTTATTGCTTTACATTCATATAATTTTGATTCTTATGTATGTTCATTTTCAGCCTTTCGATGTTAAACATCATTAATTGGCTTGTCTCTTTCTTTGCAGTGATGACATCACATTTTTCTAACAAACTCTGAATAAAGGCAGAAATTTTCCAGGAGATCCACGCTGAGGGACTTCGGGAGAGAAACTCATTGAATTGCTCACTGAATATGGACTCCGGGTTCATTTCTAAAATAACGATTGTTTAACGATTGTTTAGATATAGGCACTGCATTATTTGGTTACCACCACCCCTCCCCCCCCCCTTTTTATTATTATTGCATTTAACCATATGTATATGTTATGTGGATGCCTATGATGGCGTATCCGGCAATAAAATAAATTGAATAGAATGGAATTGAATAATAAAGTGTTTAGTGTAATATAATGTATACTGAATGTTACGGTTATGAAAGAAAATGTTCATGACAAATCTAGATACACTACAATAAATACACACATCTGCATATTGAAGAACATAAGATTAAACTAAAAAAACAAAAACTCCTGTATATTGGGCAGTAGACACACGCTCCCACTGGGAGCCTATTTTTCTAACAGACAGCATACAGTGGTGAATGTATAATCTTGGCGGAAGCGAAAAAGACGATGACTTTAATTGTTTCGTTCTTGGGAATTTACATCATACCGTACTTTCTATAAGTGGTTTATTGACAGTATGAAAACATAGAATAAGTAATATAGGCCTAACTATCAAGTGTAAGGATAAGGTCTATAGAATTGTTGATACATACAGAGTGGATCAACAAAGAAGTTTTAAAACAATCAAAGAAATTGATCGGCAAAGGGTAAATCCGATGGAAGTGCATGATGGGTCATGTGTCAACTCAATTATTACTGTACAAAAGTCATAAAAAAAAAAACAACGCCACACATTTCCTGATAACCGAATCCCGTGTGGATACTTTATTAATAAACATAATACAGTAAGGCAGTATAGGGCATAGACACACCCTCGATTTGTATTTATAGATATCCATTTATACTCTGGTTGGAGAGAGATAAACATAAGTGAAGTGCCTTGCCCAAGGACAAGCAATGCGACGAGCGTCGGTATCGAACTCCCGATCTCTCGATCATAAGTCAAACACCTTACACGCTGCGCCACGCGCTCATTCATATACATACATACATACATACACATATATAT